CGGTTTATGCCCGACAATATTTTCACGGACCGGCCTTTAAGGTGTCGCGGATAAATGAGGGAGGGGCTAATAATCGGCTCTGTCATTTTTAATGATCGTTGAAAGCCCAGATCGTAATCGTGATTAAAATTCGATTAATTGAGCAGCCCTAATATAAGACAAAGATAACAAGTAAGAACAAAATGCAGTTAATAAATGAAGGAGTTTATGCCGCGATCCAAGGAAACTCACGAACACCTTTTATGCACGGTTTGATAAACATCTATCTCAGGAGCTTTTGCTGGAAGAGGACAGCTGCCCTCTTCAGATATCTCAGGCAGTCGTGTGTAAATACTTCAGGAAAGTAAACACTCAGTAAGCTCCTGGACCAGACAACACTCCAGGTCGGGTTTTCAAAGCGTGTGCCCACGAGCTGGCAGATGTCTTCACAGACATTTCCAACCTTTCCCTGCTCCAGTCTGCTGTCCCAAAATGTTTTAAGAGGACCACCATCATCCCTGTCCCTAAGAAAACTAATGTGAGCTGCCTAAATGCCCATCGCCCTGTAGCACTCACCGCCATTGCTACGAAGTGCTTTGAGCGTACAGTCAAAGCTCACATCACATCTTTAATCCCTGCTTCACTTGATCTACTCCAGTTTGCCTACAACAGATCTATAGACGATGCAATAGCAATTGCCCTCCCCCACCTGGACCAGAAAAAAAAAAAAGACACATGCGTGCGGATGCTGTTCATTAACTATAGCTCCACCTTCAACACCATCATACCATCCAGACATGTCATGAAACTCCGTGACCTGAACATCAGCTCTTCCCTGCACAGCTGGATACTGGGCTTCCTGACAGACAGACCAAAGGTGGTTCGGATCAGCAGCATCACCGCATCCACACTTCCACTCAGCACAGATGCCCCCCAGGGATGTGTGCTCAGCCCCCTGCTGTACACCCTGTTCACCCACGACTGTACCGCAACACACAGCTCCAACACCATCGTCAAATTTGCAGATGACACCATCATCATCAGCTGCATTTCTGATGGAGATGAGACGGCATGCAGGGCAGAGGTGAGAGCCCTGACATCATGGTGCCGCGACAACAACCTGCTGCTTAACGTCAGCAAAACCAAGGAGCTCATTGTGGATTACAGGAGACTACAGAGAGGAGGCCACACCCCCATAGAAGGAGCAGAGGTGGAGAAAGTCAGCTGCTTCAGATTCCTGGGCATCAACATCACCGAGGATCTGAGTTTGTCACACCATGTTGGTGACCTGAGATCAGCACAGCGCATCACCAGGACTGAATTGCCAGCCATGCAGGATCTCTGTAGACATCACTGCATGAGGAAGACGCAGCGGACCCTCTGATCCCAGCCACAGACTTTTCACACTCCTGCCGCCCGGCAGGCGGTGCAGAAGCATTCAGACCCACACTAGCAGACACAGAGACTGTTTCTAGCCACAAGCCATCAGGCTTCTGAACTGTTGACATTCTGCACAGACCATTACACACTCAGTACAACTATTGGACTCTATACACTGTCACTGTAACCGCTTTAAATCCTCACTGCACAGTTTTGCACAAACTGTAAATACCAAACAATTGTTTCAAATGTTCTTAATATTTAAAAATAATAAAATACTAAAGTATTATTTTATTATTATTATTGTTATTGTCCTTCTTTAATATACCTGTACACTTTCCATATGTACATGTAAAGCTGAGGGACACAAGAATTTTATTACAGGTAAATGTTAAACTGTTTATCCGTATATGACAATAAAACTTGAAAACCCACTCCCCGACTCTCGCTCTGGCTCACGCTTCATGTTCTTTGCTTCCGAGTTAATTTCACTTGCTGTTCATTAATAAAGTCTTGTTAGAAAACCAAGTATTGTGCCTCCATCTGAAGTTGCATTCGGGTCCACTTTCACGCTCGGGGCATCCTTAGCAGTAACATGTTACGGCAGCATCGGCCAAACCAGTTATTAGGTTTAGGGAGCGATCGTTTCCCCCACACACACAGTTCCATGTAGATATGGATTTTTTTCCCTTAATAATAAAAACCTTCATTTAGAACCTGCATTTTGTGTTTAGTTGTGTTATCTTGTCATATAATCAAATGTTTGATCTGAAATATACGCAGAAAA